GGGGGTTTAGGGTGTAGGGTTTAGGGTTTTAGGGTTTAGGGTGTAGGGTGTAGGGTTAAGGTTTTAGGGTGTAGGGTTAAGGGTTTAGGGTTTGGGGTTTAGGGTTTAGGGTGTAGGATTTAGGGGTTTGGGGTTGAGGGGTTTAGGGTTCAGCCTTCAGCTCTGACGACTGAGACCAAAACCCTGACGAGGCCCCGCAAAAGAGCCGGGCAAAGTCTCTAAATTTACGGTCCCTCTTGGGGGTCCTGTTTAATAGGGGTGCCGTGCTAGGTTGGGATTTCAGAAAGGAACCCAAACTAGGCTGCGACTTTGAGAACTACAGAAGCTCTGTCCGGGCTCTGCTTGGACACGGTTTGGCCTTAGGGCGACAGTCAAGGGATTTAGAGTTTAGGGTTTTAGACTTTAGGGTTTAGGGTTTTAGGGTTTAGACCCGAAACCCTAAACCCTAAACCCTAAACCCTAAACCCTAAACCCTAAACCCTAAGCCCTAAACCCCAAACCTTAGAGCTTCGGGTTTAGGGTGGAGGAGCTCCGGGCTTCGGTTTATCGGGCTTAAGGAGCTCTTTCGCGTTTTTGGGGTTAGGGTTTGTCTACGGCAATGAACGACTTTAGGGTTTAGGATTTAGGGAGTTAGGGTTTAGGGGTTTAGGGGTTTAGGGTTTAGGGTTTAGGGTTTAGGGGTTTAAGGGATTGTTTAAGAGATGTTGGGACTTTTCGTCTTATTTTGGGCAGGAGGAGGTTCGCCTGTAGCAATACAGTATTGGAGATAGTTCTGATGTCTTTGCGAGGGTGAGTTGTATGAAATCAACTTCAATATGTCCCTGATCATCCTAATAGCCACAGCTCTAAACCCTAAACCTAAAACGCCAAACCTAAAACCCAAGACCCTAATCCACCTAGAGGTCCACAGACCCTAAACTCTAAAGCCCTAAGCCCTAAGCCCTCAACCCTCAACCCTCAACCCTCAACCCTAAACCCTAAACCCTAAACCCTAAACCCTAAACCCTAAACCCTAAACCCTAAAACCCTAAACCCTAATCCAACCTCGGCCGGTCGCCTCCTTCTTCGGCTTGGGCAACAAGCTTTCAGATCGCACCTGCCCCTCTGCCACCTCGAGGGTGGACACCGCCAGCTTACCAGGCGGGGTGCGGGGTTGGGTTTAGGGTTTAGGGTTTAGGGTTTAGGGTTTAGGGTTTGGGGTTTAGGGGTTTAGGGTTGACCTGCAGCCCAAAACACCTGCCCTTTATCAGGGAGTAGAATATAGAAACCATATATAGGATCTTTCAAGAGGTCGAGCATGTGGGGTTTAGGGCGTAGGGTTGAATCTCTCAGGTTGAGGGTTCAAGATTTAGCGCTGGGGGTGCAGAATTTAGGGTTCAGGGCTTTCAGGGTTTTGGGATTTGGGCTGGGTTTTGTGCAGGTTCACCAAGAAGATGAACACATAGGGACCTCAAAACGCAGTACTGAATTTCATTGTACTTTTTTTCGTGTTTATTGGGCTGCTACTGGTATTGACATGAACCGTTTGCTTACGATGACTACTATTTGAAAGTCTTGCTGCTGTTAGCAGTACTTGTCATCCAATCTTAGTCTCAGCAGGATGAATACTTTTCCGAGTTTGGTATGACTGGTGCGACAACTATATGGGTAGTTGTCAAAATTATGGTCCCTTTTGGGGTACCCTAAATAATAGGTGCCGTATTATAATAAGGACCAAAAAGGGACCATCATTTTGACAACCACCCATATTACATCACTCTGCTGGTTTCCCCCTAAACCCTAACCCCTGAACCCTGAACCCTCAACCTCTAAACCCTCAACGCCTAAACCCTTGCACAAGCCTAAGCCCTAAACCCCTAAAGCCTAAACCCTAAACCACCCTGAACCTAGGCTCGAAAACCTGAGCCCAAGCCTTGCCCTAAATCCGAAACCCGAACCAAGGGACTGAACGCCCCAAACTTTTTACGGGTAATGTAGTGGCCTCAGCAATTACCTATATGTTTTAGGGTTAAACATAGTCATAGTATATTATGCCGGTAGTAACATGGGGGTTGAGGCTTCTGGGTGGGGCCTCCTCAACTGAAGCGTTTAAGCCCTTAGAGGACCCGGGTCTCAGCAACTACGGTTCCCTTCAAAGGCCCATAGGGTTCCGAGGTCAGCCGCTTTATTTCCGGTTTAGGGTTTAGGGTTTAGGGTTTAGGGTTTAGGGTTTAGGGTGCATATTAT